TAGTAGAAGGAGCAGATGTAGAAGCAGCAACAGTAATAGTAGTAGTAGCAGCAGTAGAAATAGCAGTAGTAGGAACAGCAACAGTAGTAGCAGCAGTAGCAGCAGTAATAGTAGTAGTAGGAGCAGCAACAGTAATAGTAGTAGCAGCAGTAGAAAGAGCAGTAGCAGGAGCAGCAACAGTAAAATCAGTAGTAGCAGCAGTAATAGTAGTAGTAGTAGCAGTAGAAAGAGCTATAGAAGAAGCAGCAACAGTAATAGTAGTAGAAGCAATATAAGGAGCAGTAGTAGGAGCCGCAACAGTAATAGCAGTAGTAGCAGTAGTAATAGTAGTAGTAGGAGCAGCAACAGTAATAGCAGTAGTAGCAGCAGTAGAAAGAGCAGTAGTAGGACTAGCAACAGTAAGAGTGGTAGCAGCAACAGTAAGTAGCAGTAGTAGGAGCAGCAACAGTAATAGTAGTAGTAGCTGTAAAAAGAGCAGTAGTAGTAGCAGCAACAGTAATAGTAGTAGTAGCAGTAGTAGGAGCAGTAGTAGGAGCAGCAACAGTAATAGTAGTAGTAGCAGTAGAAAGAGCAGTAGTAGTAGCAGCAACAGTAATAGTAGTAGCAGCAACAGTAATAGTAGTAGTAGCAGTAGAAGGAGCAGTAGTAGAAGCAGCAACAGTGATAGCAGTAGCAGCAACAGAAGAACGAGCTTTAGTAGGAAGAGCAACAGTAATAGTAGTAGTAACAGTAATGGCGGTAGTAGTAGTTCTTTTTGTGGAGGACAAAGAGCAGCAGCAGCGGTCGTAGCAGCAACATGTGTTCTTTCTGTAGTAGTAACAGTATCAGAACTGTGAGTAGTAGTAGTTGTTACAGAAGCTGTATTCGTCAATAGTAGTGGTGTGATAATTTGTTAACCTTGTAGTTTAGAAGGTTGAACAGAGTATTTGAGATTCGTCGTATTGGCTCCCAATCTAGAATGGGTTTATTCAGTAGCTGGAGTGTAAAATCTGCAGGTAGCAACTTGGAGAGGACAGACAGTCGGCCTCTCCTTCAAGTAATCTGTCAGTTATTATAATTTTGTTTTTACAATTTTTACAATTTAAGTGCCATACAGTTTTTTTGTTCTTTTTTTTTGGTTGGGCGGCGGGAGGTGAGGGGGGGGGGGGGGGGGGGGGGTTAGTTTGTTATAGGGAATAAAACTGCCATCAGTTAGTCTTGGGTAGTTATTCGCGTCCTGTCAAGTTCGGATGTATAATTTCCCCATATATGGACTGTATTTACTTGGGTTTGTCGCCCAGCTCCTCAGCTGAGTGCACGTTGAGCTCTATAATCTGTGGATTTCCCATATAATGCTTGTCATGTGCGTCTTATTTTGTTTATGATGTGAACTGCATGTTCAGAAAATAACCGGTGGCATGTTGTCATAGAACTGGCGATGCTTTATGCAGTAATTCGTGTGCAGCTGCTGATGTGGTGTGATAGTTACGTCTATCAACAAAGAACTAAAATTGCCACGACAGCATATAATTTGTTTTGTCCTAGCTAACTTTACTGCTGCCATATTAAAAGTCCCGTTTTGGGTGTTGTTTGTACGACTACGTTAAATATTTTTTCCTATCCGCCATTATAATTCAGAAAAATTGCAGGCTTTTTATAGAACAAAAAAAAAAAAATTTCCCAGCTTTGTGAAGATAGGTGAACGTTAATTTCAACCTCGAATTACCATAAATCACTCCACAATACACATAGTAAACCCGGAAGTGATGTTAAGGAAAATACAAACATTACTTTCAAAAGAAATGAAGGAAAAAAATAAGGGATTAAAGAAGCGCAAAAGGAGAAGAAAAAGTTTCCAATTTCCCCCATCAAACATGGCGGCTTTTATCCGGGTACTTAAAGTCAGTCATTTTTCTTTCCCCTTTTATCACAGCTTATCACAGAATTAGAGTGGTCGTTCTTGAGAGGACATTTCTTTTCTTCCAGGGAATCTGGAATTTGCGAAAACTATTAATGTGAGCTATAGATGAATATTCTGAAACAGAATTATCTTCTTTCTCCCTTTCCTTTTCAGAAGGAGGTTTGTGCGAAGCTCACTTATGCCCCTCTCCCTTTTCCCCTTTTTTTCCTTGCCCGCCAGCCCTACAGTCAGATTAATCGAAGGCAACGGCAGTTGTGTGCCCCCCCCCCCTTTTTTTTCCCCTTTATGTATTAATTTATGCTGTATAGCAGTGGTTCTTAACCTTCCTAGTGCTGTGACCCTCTAATACAGTTCCCTCATGTTGTGACGATCCTAAACATACAACTAATATCGCTGCTACTTTATAACTACAGTGAATATGTGTTTTCCAAAGGTCTTAGGCGGCCCCGGTGAAAGGGTCGTTCGACCCGCAAAAGGGTCGGGACCCCTAGGTTGAGAACCGCTGCTGTAAAGTGTTAACCGTCAGGTCTATCCACAGCTTTCTGTCTCGTGTACTTTAGTTCTGTCTGCGACGTATAATCATCCAGACCATAATGATAAACTGACCAGCAACTTTTCTTGTGGTTCTCTACCTCTCACGGCCTCTAACTTTCCCGCTGACACGATGTACCCTCTACCTCTCACGGCCTCTAACTTTCCCGCTGACACGATGTACCCTCTACCTCTCACGGCCTCTAACTTTCCCGCTGACACGATGTACCCTCTACCTCTCACGGCCTCTAACTTTCCCGCTGTCACGATGTACCCTCTACCTCTCACGGCCTCTAACTTTCCCGCTGTCATGATGTACCCTCTACTCTCACGGCCTCTAACTTTCCCGCTGTCACAATGTACCCTCTACTCTCACGGCCTCTAACTTTCTCGCTGTCACAATGTACCCTCTACCTCTCACGGCCTCTAACTTTCTCGCTGTCACAATGTACCCTCTACCTCTCACGGCCTCTAACTTTCTCGCTGTCACGATGTACCCTCTACCTCTCAGGGCCTCTAACCTTCTCGCTGTCACAATGTACCCTCTACCTCTCACGCCCTCTAACTTTCCCGCTGTCACGATGTACCCTCTACCTCTCAGGGCCTCTAACCTTCTCGCTGTCACGATGTACCCTCTACTCTCACGGCCTCTAACTTTCTCGCTGTCACGATGTACCCTCTACCTCTCAAGGCTTCTAACTTTCTCGCTGTCACAATGTACCCTCTACCTCTCACGGCCTCTAACTTTCTCGCTGTCACGATGTACCCTCTACCTCTCAGGGCCTCTAACTTTCTCGCTGTCACAATGTACCCTGTATTTTCTTCTCATGGCGTGACCGAAAAATGTAAACTTCTCTATACATTTTCAGGGGCAGGGTTGGATGCGGGGGAGGAGGGGGGGGGGGTTCAACCCCCATTTAGCCCCACAGTTCCAGCGCTGCCTAATGGCTATAGTACTTTTATATCCTCTTCAATCTGTACTCTTCTCTACTTCCTACTTTGCAATGTTGCCCTTTGATGCAGACGTGCTATCATTGTTTCAAGAACAGTAGTAATTGTCTGGAGGCTCCCAATAACGTGCCAACAATTGTTGGCTCTTTCCCCGGCTACCGGCAATCTATCAAATCCACAACGTGACTTTTCCCTGGTTGCGGACGTTAGCCGACTCGATAGACACAGACAGAAGGTTGTTACTGGGTGGAGTCGATGTACATCAATGTTATCATGTGCCAGCTGTTGCATGATGCTGCTATGGTGCTGCTGCTGCTGACACTACTGCTGCCTACAACAACAACTACTACTAGAGCTGCTGCTACTTCTTCTTCTTTTTTCTTCTCGTTCACCGGCTGTAAACTCCGGCGGAAAGTTTTGGTTGTTCGTCCACTTCTGACTGCAGTCCTTTTCCAGAACCTGAGTGTTGCGTGTGCATCCGTTTGACAGATCTGTATGCAGACTGTTGTTTCCTTGCCTCTCAGGCAGATGCACTCCGACTTCGAAGAAAGCTCCCAAACAGTCGACTCTTACGACATGCTATTGGGTAGGCAGTGGGTCTCTTCTTGTTTTTTCCCACAGTAGGGCCCCAGAACCCACACTGGGAGCTGCTGCTACTGTTACTAGCTAATACTACTAATACTAGCACTTATTACTACCACTGCTACTACCACAATCACCACCACTATTACTGATGACTACTGCTGCTACAACAACAGCAACTACTACTACTAATGATGGCTATGATACTATAACTACTGGGGAAGGGAGGCTGAGTGGTCTCGATTCATGGCGTCCGCCTCGAGTGCTGGAGGTCCCGGGTTCAGGCCCCGATGAAGGCTGAGATTTTTTTTCATGTGGACTTCTAGTAATTTCCCCTGGTCTTTGGGTAGTAAGACTGGATGCCTGTGTGTATTGTTGCGCACTTAAAAAAATCTATTGGCAGTTGGAAATCGAAAAGAGTAGTCTAACGGGTTGCCCGGGCAAAATTAAAAGTTAAAAATTTAGCCAATGTATTTCAGGTTCGTTGCCGGTGCTACGGAGTTCATGCACTGAGATAAGATTCTTCGGACTTAGGCTCGAGCTTGCTAGTACTGCTACTACTACTACTACTACTACAGTCCCTTCTACTACTAGTTGCAGTAGTCGTAGTATTAGTAGTAGCTGTAGTAGCAGCAGCAGTAGCAGCAGCAGTAGTAGCAGTAACAGTAGAAGTAGCAGCAGCAGTATTGGCAGCAGCAGCAGTAGTAGTAGCAGCAGCAGTAGTAGTAGCAGCAGCAGTAGCAGTAGTAGTAGCAGCAGCAGTAACAGTAGTAGCAGCAGCAGTAACAGTAGCAGCAGCAGCAGTAACAGTAGCAGCAGCAGTAACAGTAGCAGCAGCAGTAACAGTAGTAGCAGCAGTAGCAGCAGCAGCAGTAGTAGCAGCAGTATTAGTAGCAGCAGCAGCAGCAACAGTAGTAGCAGTAGTAGCAGCAGCAGCAGCTGTAACAATAGTAGTAGTGGTGGTGGTGGTGGTGGTGATGGCTGTGGTAGTAACAGACATATTTTCAGTGAACTTGTACTAGAAAGAAAATCTCACCATATCCACTTCCGATATGCTGTCAAAACTGGCCAGGATGACCTCGATCCCAATCTCAAGTGGAGCACCTGTCAATTGAAAACACAAGGGCATTTTTATTTTACACATTAAATGTCTTTTACATGTGGAATATCTTTTACACGTGATGTGTCTTTTACATGTGAAATGTCTTTTACACGTAAAATATCTTTTACACGTGATATATCTTCAACATGTAAAATATCTTTTACACTGGAAATATCTTTTACACATGATATATCTTTTACATGTAAAATGTATTTCACACCGAAAATATCTTTTTATGTGACATATCGTTTACATGAGAAATATCTTTTACACGTGAAATATCTCTTACGTGTTGAATATCATTTACACATTAAATATCTTTTACACGTGTATATCTTTTATACGTGAAATCTTTTTAAAAATAAGGAGGAAGAGAAAAACAGATGAGAACGGTGATTAAAAGGATGAAGATAAAGACGGCGAAGCCAAAGAAGAAGAGGAAGAAGAAGAAGAAGAAGAAGAAGAAGAAGAAGAAGAAGAAGAAGAAGAAGAAGAAGAAGAAGAAGAAGAAGAAGAAGAAGAAGAAGAAGAAGAAGAAGAAGAAGAAGAAGAAGAAGAAGAAGAAGAAGAAGAAGAAGAAGAAGAAGAAGAAGAAGAAGAAGAAGAAAAGAGAAGAAGAAGAAGAAGAAGAAAGAAGAAGAAGAGAGAAGAAGAAGAAGAAGAAGAAGAAGAAGAAGAAGAGAGAAGAAGAAGAAGAAGAAGAAGAAGAAGAAGAAGAAGAAGAAGAAGAAGAAAGAAGAAGAAGAAGAAGAAGAAGAAGAAGAAGAAGAAGAAGAAGAAGAAGAAGAAAGAAGAAGAGAAGAAGAAGAAGAAGAAGAAGAAGAAGAAGAAAGAAGAAGAAAAAGAAGAAGAAAAAGAAGAAGAAGAAGAAGAAGAAGAAAAAGATGAAGAAGAAGAAGAAGAAGAAGAAGAAGAAGAAGAAGAAGAAGAAGAAGAAGAGAAGAAGAAGAAGAAGAAGAAGAAGAAGAAGAAGAAGAAGAAAAGAGCAAAGAAGAAGAGAAGAAGAAGAAGAAGAAGAAGAAGAAGAGATCGATCCCTAGAAGAAGAGAAGAAGAAGAAGAAGAAGAAGAAGAAGAAGAAGAAAGAAGAAGAAGAAGAAGAAGAAGAAGAAGAAGAAGAAGAAGAAAAGAAGAAGAAGAAAAAGAAGAAGAAGAAGAAGAAGAAGAAGAAGAAGAAGAAGAAGAAGAAGAAGAAGAAGAAGAAGAAGAAGAAGAAGAAGAAGAAGAAGAAGAAGAAGAAGAAGAAGAAGAAGAAGAAGAAGAAGAAGAAGAAGAAGAAGAAGAAGAAGAAGAAGAAGATAAGGAAGAAAGAAGAAGAAGAAGTAGTAGAAGAAGAAGGAAGAAGAAGAAGAAGAAGAAGAAGAAGAAGAAGAAGAAGAAGAAGAAGAAGAAGAAGAAGAAGAAGAAGAAGAAGAAGAAGAAGAAGAAGAAGAAGAAGAAGAAGAAGAAGAAGAAGAAGAAGAAGAAGAAGAAGAAGAAGAAGAAGAAGAAGAAGAAGAAGAAGAAAAAGAAGAAAAAGAGAAAGTAAAAGAAGAAGAAGACAAAGTAGACGAAGAAGAAGAAAAATAAGACGACGAACAACAACAACAACAACAACAACAACAAGAATGAAAGGGAAATACGCTCGAAAATAAGAAAGGTATTTCATTGAATATTAAGGAAACAGAAGTAATGGTTATATCAAAGAAGAAAATAATTCCACGTTGTGATATCCCAGTTGAAGGAAAAAAACTTAACAAAGTCAATAAATTTAAATGTCTGGAAACAATCATATCTCAGATGGAAAATGTGTGACAGAGATTAAAGGCAAAAAAGGTCATGCGAAAGCTGAATTTAAGCAAATTAAAAATATGCAATAAATCGCTCTCATTTAATGTCAAAAAGAGGGTGCTAAATTGTTACATAGAACCTGTTCTGCTGCATGACAGCCAATCTTGGAATGTCACTGAACAAATTAAGAAGAATTTGGAAGTAACAGAGATGTGATTTTTGAGACCAATGTTACGAATACCTTGGACAGCAAGAGTAACTAACAACGGTTGCTTAAAGAAGGCTAATGAAAGTAAATCTCTATATACAAAAACGACAGAGATAAACACTGTTCTTTGGCCACATAATGAGAAGAATGACATTGGAGAACATCGTGACAACTGGAAAGATCAGTGGGAAAAGGGGTAGAGGCAGACCAAAAGAGATAATGCTGGATGGGCTAAAACGATGGCATGGAGGGATTTCAGCAAGAGAGCTGTTACAGGGAACTAGGGATCGTGCTCTGTGGAGACGCAACGCCAGTTGACAAGGCACATAATGATGAGGACGCACGACAAATGTGCCAGTTATATATATATATATATATATATATATATATATATATATATATATATATATATATATATATATATATATATATAGATCCCCAGCTCTTTACAACAGCATACGTAATTCTGTAACATAAATATTTGTATTACAGTGCATATTCAAATATTCCTCAGGCGATCCCTACCACTCATCCCTTCCCCAATCCTTGTTTGAGATGTTCTAGCTAGGCGGCGCAAGGGCGTAACTAAAACAAACAAACGGAACCTTAGGTTTGTAGAGGGATTGGAGGTGGGATTGAGGGGGTGGGGGGAGGGTGCTTCCATGTGGGTCAAGCAGCGGCTGGCATGTCTTTGGGGGAGAGGGTGCCGGGATGAGGAAGAGGAGGAGCAACAGGATTATAAAAAATGTAAATGTATTCGATGACAGAAACGGGATTAGCAGGATCAACGTAGTTAAAACAGGGATGGTTATCATTCATTTCGGAACAGGAAATGGGCTCTTATCCTAAAAGAGGCAGAAAGGGGATAAAAATAGAAGATAGAGTGGGAGAGATAGAGACAGAGGGAGAAAGACAGAGACGTATAAGGCTAAAAAAAAAAAAGTCAAAAAAAGCGAAACGTGTGTGTGAGCGACCGTGTGTGTACAAGAGAAAGAACGACAGAGAAATATTCGTTGACACATCATAACCATAACCTATTTGTTCTTTTTCTCCTCCCTCCTCTTTCCTTGTTTTTTTTTTTTTTCTCATCCTCTTCCCCCTCTTCTTTCTCTTCTTCTTTCTCCTCTTTTTCTTCTGTTTCTTCTTCTTCTTCTTCTTCAATATCAAATCTGACCTCTACACACGAGCCTAGTTGTTTCAAGATATAAACCGTCGCACCCGTGCGTGTTTGTTGTTGTTCATCTGAAATGCGACGCAGCGAGGGGTGTGTGCAGTGAATGCTGACCCCATTAAAACCCCACACCGGCTATGATGGGGACTCTAATATAACCTTACGGTTGAAAAGGGTTTCTGGGACTTGCACCCGTGTGATTCTCATCCGAATGGTGACATTTTGTGTCACCGGGTATTTATCGCTCGTTGTGTGGTCCTGGTGGGGTTGTACGTCATGCAAGCTGACCTTACATATTTGCTTTGTTGCGTGTATCTGTTTCTATATTTGTGTAATCAAACAGTACAGTTAGTTGGTATTCTTGCAAGTAGGTTTTGGACAAGCACTTCAAGTTACTATTTAGATATCAGGTATCATTTTTAATAGAGGGCCTAAGACAACTATGAAAAAAGAGAAGAGGAAAATGAAAAAAGAAAGGGACTGTGGAAAATATGAGAAAGGAGTCAGGCAAACTGATTTGTGAAAATAGTACAACTAGCTTAAATCCAACAGAACTACAATTTTCAAGCAATTGAACGTGGCCAAAGGAGTAACGATAGACTTCTATAGAGTCATCTCAAATGGACACAGTTGTGGAAGAAATGGAAACTATACTGTTAGTCTGAATTAATGGCATTCAACTGAAAACATTTCAGAAAATAACCGGTGGCATGTTGTCATAGAACTGGCGATGCTTTATGCAGTAATTCGTGTGCAGCTGCTGATGTGGTGTGATAGTTACGTCTTCAACGATGAACTAAATGGCCAAGCCACCGTACAATTTGTTTTGTCCTAGTATCTTCTTCTGCGTTCATCCGAAGATGTTCTTGCGTTCTGTCCGTTTACAGCATGACCCTTCGGCCTTGACTACCATGTCGACCCAGCCTTGAGTGGGTAACAGGTGCAGTCTTGTGAAGTAAAGGCGGCCGACGTAATGCTGACTACATCACCCACCAAGTGCCGATAAGTCTTTAAAATTAAAGTCTAGCCCTATATTCCCAATGCGCCTGAAAGCGCAGAAAAGAGACTTTTCTGCCAACACATCCAACTTCTGCAGGCGTTTCTTCAACTGATTAGTCTCCCCGTGTATCTGAAAGTGTGATATGTCTAACAAGCTATTTACAAAGCTATTTCACAGGACTTGCCATCCACTACCAGTAGCAAAGACATCGGTGAAGAGTTTAAAGTTAGCAGAAGATACTTTGAGAATCAGTCTACGTAGTTTTGTTAGATATGGGAAGATGCTAGTACTGACTTTTAGAAAGGCGCTGGAAAGTTCGTCAAATAGTTTTATAAACTGATGGAGTCAGAAGATTGCAGAGCAGAAACAAGTTTTCAACCGGGCTTTTCTAGAAGAACATGCCTTAAAGAAGGTCCATCAATAATGAGATGGCATTGCCACGACACAAGCCGATGAAAGACAAACTAACAGAGCTCTTGAGTGCCAAAGCCAGTGGTGATTTAATGATAATACCTCTGCTGGTTTATCACTCTGAAAATCCTGGTCTTTAAACAGAAAGTTAACAGTCACGAACTCAGTTTTTATGTTGAATCTTAGAACGGATTAACTGATTCCCCTTATGATATAATGGGAAACGGGCTTTGGATATACGAACTTTACGAGGTACAAATCAGTCAGGAAATAATACAATTCATTAGCTGAGTTAACACAGTTCTACATCCATCGCCAAAGTCGTGCCCAGCTTAAAAACTATGTAACGCAGAAACCGTTCCGTGTAAATTGTTGAAGTCTGGGAGGCAGCATGTTCGTAATCTTGTCCTTTTATTTAAAAAAAAAAATTAACGTTTACAAAC